TACCGGACCGGGGACCAGCAACGGGATTGCAACCCTCGTCGTTGCTCCCGTGCCTCGCTCAGCCAGTGAGCGGGAGCCGGTCTGTATGTGGGATCCGAACCCTCGGGCGCGCCGCCGCGCTTCCCAAGCGGCGCACTATCCAGTGCGCCACCGGGCCGGCCCAAAGGTCCCTTTTAATCCTATAAAATTTATGCTGCTATTCCAAGTCACATAAGTCTCAGAGAGAAGCCCTCTGAGGCTTGCTACCAACCAACACCACTTCACTCCTTCACCAAATAATCTACTACGTGCAAGGCACAACTGAATGTTATAATAAAATTAACCAACTCTGTACTCGTTTATTTTCTCCAATCATATTTTAATTTTTCCTAGCAAAGGAAAATGTTTCCTTACAAGGTAACATCCAACCACCTACTGGTATTTCAACTCAATGCCCACAGGGCACCTCAAGCCTAATATGTCACAAACTGAACATACTACCTGTCCCTTTCCCCCAATCCCTCAATGCTTTTCCTCCAAACTGCTGCTCTGGGGTGGTGGCAACACCATCCACGAGGTCTCACAAAACAGAAACTATCTTTCTGTTTGTTCCCTAATGGCTTCTTGGTCACCAAATGCTACAAATTTTATTTCCTAAAATGTCTATTTCTAAATATCTCTAACATCTTCAAATCCTTGCCATTAACACTATCACTGCCTCAGCTCTAGTCTCATTTCTCCTCTGGCCTCCACTAATAGACTCTTTGCCTATAGACATATCTCTCTCCAGTTATTTTCTCTGCTATTTTTATAGTTATTTTTATAAACAGGAATGTAACGGCAGTTCTCTCTTATGGAACATTCTCCACTAACTGGAAAGCCAAAATCCTGCAGTAAACCATGAAATTCCAGTACCCAGTGATCTGACCTTTGCCTGCCCCTTCCACATCATCTTGATACCCTCTTGGCAGTTCTCTCTTATGGAACATTCTCCACTAACTGGAAAGCCAAAATCCTGCAGTAAACCATAAAATTCCAGTACCCAGTGATCTGACCTTTGCCTGCCCCTTCCACATCATCTTGATACCCTCTTTGGTTTCTTCCCCATTTTTACACCTCTCTTTGGCCATCACGTATAGATGGTCTACTATCTCAATTTTAGAAAGCTCTAGTATAGATACAAAGATATGATCCAATGAGCCAAGTGTTAGATTATAGGTTATTCTATTTAATTTTGACTAATCACATTATTTTGCCCGTATTTGATATAAAGAAATATAGCATAAAGCTAAAACAAACATCCAAATAAGAAAAACAAAACACAAAAAACAAAAAACAAACAAACAAAAAAAGCAAGACCAACCTTGAGTGTGGTGGAGTTATAGTTGACATTTAATAAAAGCCTGATTTATAGGCCCTTAAGTATATAGAAAATGCTTTGGCTTGAAAAACGGCCCATTGGGTTTTCCAACCAACCATCCAACTTGTATATTTATGTCCCCAAAATAAATTATAAATCCAGGCACTAGCTTTGAGTTGTCATTCCAAATTTTTTGTATTAAAATGTTTTTTTAGTGACTTTCACATTTTGTGCTATCCACTGGTTTAGGTATTAAGAAGAGTGATCTGTAGTTGAAAGGAATAACAATAAGGCCATTTGTACTCTAGTGATCTGCAATAAATACAAAATGATGTTCTTTATTCCCTCCCGTATATTGAACAACCTTTGTATCTATGATCCAGCTGCTCCAATTGCAAATCTTTTCTGTGCAAAAGCCAAACGTGAAACTTTATTGGCCATTAGAACACAGTAAACATTTTGCTCTTCACATAAGGGAAACAGAAATCATAGCTGAAGTTAGAGAAATGTTAGAAAATGTTGTGGAATTTTCATTTTACTATATACGTGTTGCATAATAGAGAAGAATAATTCGTCTCAAACCCAATTTTACTTTCAAATATATTCTCTGCATAAAGATTAGTAATCAGCAACAGTTAAACAATGAGCTTGATGAGTTTTTGGTGAAGTATGTTACTTTTTTTTTTTAAATTACTAAGGTGATACTGTGAATACACACAATGGAATAGAACTTTGATGAAATTCTAGAGTAGTCCTTTGATTTGCACTTCAATAACAGATCCATAAATGCATCTGTAAGTAATACTAATATTAGTTGATGCTCTTAAAGACATTATACAAACTTTTAGAAAAATGAAACTTTTAGGAGAGTAAAGACTACTAAGATAGGTTACCTGATTTACAAGTAATGCTGAAAGCAGACAGAAATAGATTTTTCAGTTCTTTTTATGTACATGAAAGCCATTTGATCATTAGGAAATCAGGCAGAGGTATCTGTCTCAAATGTGGTAGAAAACTAACAATACAATCAAGGATTGGGGCCGGCCCGTGGCTCACTTGGGAGACTGTGGTGCTGATAACACCAAGGCCCCGGGTTCGGATCCCATATAGGGATGGCCGGTTCGCTCACTGGCTGAGCGTGGTGCTGACAACACCAAGTCAAGGGTTAAGATCCCCTTACCAGTCATCTTTTAAAAAATAAAAAAAAAAAAACAACAGTTTACAAATTTTAGGCGTTCTTTAGCTGTCCAAAAGCTGTCACTAAAAATCACATTACAAATATTTTACCTAAAAATTTCCAGATCTATTTGTTTTGAAACCTATATTTCTTAACTCTGAAAAATATACTGAGGAAAAACAAACAAAAAAGAGGTTTATCACCCAAAGAATAGTGCGTAATACTGGATATGAGATGCGGTAAGAAACAAAAGTTTTTGAAATATATATATGTATATATTCATATGTCATATGTAATCTTATATTAAATGAAAATACTCATGCTGTTAGTGTCAACTGAAGAATGTCTTAAACATGGAAATATTTCCTATGAATGAAAAATATCAAGTATCCTGAAAATGTTAAAATAAAAACCATATATATTATATAAAATATTTAGTAGCCTAAACATAAATAATTTACTTTTTACTTCTTACTCAAGCAATTAGAATTTTAATACAGATTTACATATGATTAAAATGATATAATAATAACCTTCAATAATAACAATTATATAATTTATCTGGGGAAAAAGCCTCTCTTGGGACAAAGCCTTTTCCTAAAGTTATTTTGGAAAAAGAATATTAGACGATATTATCAAGTTTACTAAAACATACTAGTTTACACTAACAATATCTTGTAATAACAGCATGTTGTGCTCATAGGCACTGCTCTCTGGAACAGTTAATATGGTACACCAGGTAAGAGAGAACTCCTGGTATTTCTTACCCTGGCATCGTATTCAAGGACAAAAGGGGGAAAGTCGATCTGTTCTGGTGATATGGCATTAAAGAGCTGGTGAAGGCTGTCCACATGGTGGATTTTATCCTTCAGTCCTGAGACAGAAAAGGTGGTGAAAAACCATGTTGATACCTGATTAATAGAAGAGAAAAAATAATTTAAGCCAGGGACCACATTTAGAAATACAAACATGATTTTAAAAATTTATACTAGATAAAAACTACATTTCAAAACCTAATAATAACCAGTGTTTTTCAAAGTACAGTTTGTAGTTCATCAGTGATTTATGCAATCAGTTTAGTAGATTATGAACAACATAAAAAAAGAAACTAGAATAACAATTATTAGGAACTGTAACATGAATGAGTTTTGTTTCATAAGTTTTTGTTTTTGCTATATGTATATATTACACATACTCCTTACAGTGGGTTGCAGTCAAACCGCTGCATTATTTGGTAGAATAATTGGTTCTCTGGTACTCTGAAAATGGTTATTATCTCCAAATCTCACAAACTCTTTTCAATTTTTTAGTTGACATGTGGCAGTCTCTTTCTTGAAGTCAATCAAAGTGAATTTCCATAGCTGTGGAGCCAGCTTTGCCCATTTCACTTTGCCACATGTAATGTCTAAAAAAGCTAATCTGCAAAATTTGTTGGTCCCCCAAAAAGAGCAAATTCATGACAGCAAACAATACCAACATAAGGTAGGTAATAGCTAGAACTTACAAATTATTTATCTATCCAAATTGGCAATCACTACTTAGTCCATGTTTGCCAACAGCTTACATAACATTTCTATGAGGTACGTATGATACTGTTGCTATCCCCATTTTATTTACACAAGGTAACATATGCATATAAGCTTTCAGTGCGCTGGAATAATATACTCCAAATTGGTACAAACTGGGTACATTATAAATACATGTCACTATGCATGCTTACCACTGATACTATCATTTTGTTAATTTCTCTTTGGTACTCTACCATGTTTTTCAGTGGCTGTTGTAAACCTTTCACATATTCCAAGCATCTACTATGACATATTTTCTTCACACTCACTTGTGAGAAAAGGCATGGAATAACAGAGACAACATTGAACCAAGTTATCTCTATCAGAATTCTGTTCAAATTCCCAGACTCAGTACAAGTGACATCTACATTATTTCTCCCTTGCAGCTCCAAACAGATTATCCCCTCTACTGAATTCTTACAACCTTATGTTTAGTCTCATTTATAGCACTTATTCCTATTCCTAGTATTTTGGTTACTTATATTCATTCCTATAATCTCTCTATTACCTAGGGATAATTACAGAACAACAGTCTAAAGTTTTTTTTTTGTCTTTTTTCCGTGTCCGGCAATGGATCGCAACCCTCAGTGTTGCCCCCGTTAGTCTAAAGTTTTTTTTTTTGTTTTTTTTTTTTGTCTTTTTTCCGTGTCCGGCAATGGATCGCAACCCTCAGTGTTGCCCCCGTACCGGACCGGGGACCGGCAACGGGATTGCAAGCCTCGGTGTTGCCCCCGCGCCTCGCTCAGCCAGTGAGAGGGAGCCGGTCTTGTATGTGGGATCCGAACCCTCGGACGGGAGCGCCGCCGCGCTTCCCAAGCGGCGCACTATCCAGTGCGCCACTGGGCCGGCCCAATAGTCTAAAGTTTTATAAGGTACAGACAGACCATGAGTTCTCAAGTATTTGTTAAAGAATGAATGCATCAATGAACTTTCAGAAAGAGAGAAAAGAAACTGTGGTTACTAGAGGTGGAAAAGGGAGGAGAGGGGGAGAGAGAAAGGGATTAATGAGGAATTGGTTAACTGACACAAAGAATGATTGTGTATTGTAATGATGAATAAGCTAACTATCCTGATCTAACCATCACAAATTGTACACAACTACTGAAAAATCAACATCGTACCCCACATGTATGTGTAACAAATTATTTAAAAAAAAAAAAAGAAAGAAAGAAAGAATGAATGAATGAATGAAGGCCTATTTTTAATTATTTTTATGGCCCAGATCACCATTCTATGTTGGCTACACTACCAATGATTGATATGAGGATATTTGAAAAAAATCATTTATTTGTATTACCTTTTAATTCTACTTTTCCATGATCTTTTTGTAGTACCCTTGTATAAGGCCTCAAATATTAACATTACCCTCTGTATCCTCTCCCCTCCCATTTTACCAGGTTTATGTGGAGGGGTGTAGTGGGGGGCAGGGAAAGCACTTGCCCTTTCTAGAACCAAGCAAGTTAATTTAAACAGTCACTGAATTACATACCAAAATCACTTTGTTTCTTTCTAGCACATCCTATTATATACATTATTGATACAAACTTCTATAATTTATACTAGTGAAAATTCCACATTAAGAGCTCCATAATTTATCACAGAGGTAGTAAGGACTACAAAGAGACCATGGACGTCTTAGAGATTCTAGAAAGAGCTTAAGAAAATCAGACTGTAGAGGCAGAACAGAGAAGAACCTCAAGGATGTGTTAGGAGATCTGTTTTTGCAAGGAGTCAAACATCCACTGATTATATACTGGGTACTAAGCACTGTACTGGGGTTGCAGGTGATAAAGGACAACAGCAGTATAGGCTTTCCTCTACAAGGGGCTTAGGTTCTAATAGAGGAGCTAGATAGTAAGTAAAAGAATAACTACCTAAAGCAAAACATGCTAACTGCAATGTATGTCCCAAGGGAAACATGTACATACCTATTATACTCAAGAAGCTGTGATACTTGGAAAAGGTATAAAATTATAAAGCTAGAAGAGACTACATAAGAAATTTTTGTGCCACTCTATCTTACCTCAGGACCTTCTTTACATGCTGCTTTTTAGCCCTGACTGAAGGAAAATGAAGGAGAACACATATTAAAGAGGGAGGCACTCTTGCTCTCCAGGACTTAGACTATGTCAGCAGAAATGCAAAAAGACTGGGTCAGCAAGAATTTGCAAGGCTAGGGCCGAGCCCGTGGCGCACTCGGGACAGTGCAGCGTTGGGAGTGCAGCAGCGGCAGCGTTCCCACCACGGGTTCGGATCCTATATAGGGATGACCAGTGCGCTCACTGGCTGAGAGCGGTGCAGCCGGTCTCAAAAAGGACAAAAAAAAAAAAAAAAAAAAGAATTTGCAAGGCTTAACTGCAACACAGACTTCCTATTGAGTTGCCTAGGAGACGGGGAGGTATGGGAGGGGCTCACAGCTGGCTAAAACATATATAATATATGCCTGTAGACAATAAAGTTGCTTAGTGAATGTGCTAAGTCCCAGAACTTTATGTCTGGTTTCTGGTTGCCCACCTCCCTAGGTGGCAGCCCCTAGCTCAAGGCGTGCCCTGAGCAACTCACCTCGCTGTACTCTCTTGGCAGGGCTACATGTGGCCCTGCTCCCTGGGGGACTTCCGTCAGAGGCTACGTGTAGTCCTGCCTCCTGAGACCCCCAGGACCAAGAGAAACATGCACCTGACATCCTTTTCCTCAATTCTTTGCCTGGCTAGTTGTCTTTCACAGCTCAGAGTAGAATTTGCCTCAGTGAAGAAGCTTTCTTTGTCCACCTTCCACCCAAGGCTGGAAATTCCTTCTAAGTGTACCAATAACACTGTGTTTACTCATACTATTGCATGATAATTAACATTCTGTATTGTATTATCTAATTCTCTAAATAGACTGTAAATTACCCCATGCAGGGACTGTCTTATTCAATTCCATATTCATAGAATCTAACTAATGCCCAACATAAAGTAAGGAACTCAGTGTTTGCTGAAAGAATTAACAAATGAATGAATAGGAGTTTGTGGACTTACTTTAACTCTATTAGGAATGGTCTAATATTCCTTCATTCTACAATAAAAATTGTACTTCAATCTGGGCCTCAGTTTCTCCATCTATAAAATGAAAAAGTTACACACAAATGATTTTTAAGGTCCCTCTTAGTTATACAATTCTATGACAGGACTCTTGAATACACTGCACTATATTGGCATGGTGGGGTGGTGGTGGTAAGGACCGAGAAGAGGTTAGGCTGGGGAAGAACAGGCAGTGATCTTAGGAATACAATCCTTGAAAAAGAAACACAGTTCTCTGTCACATTTCTTCCATTATATCTTTTACATCCTCCAGATGCTAGCAGGAGAAAATTACTCAAAGTGGACAGAAATGGAACCCGGTTAAAAGTTTTCTGTTCTGGGAGACTGAATAGCATGGTCTTCACTCTTTTTTTTTCATTTTAGTTTTATACAGCTTAGCTTTAAATTTTCAATTGCTTATAACATGAGTTAAAAATATATTGGGCCGGCCCGGTGGCGCACTCGGTAGAGTGCGGCGCTTGGAAGCGCAGCTGCGCTCCTGACGAGGGTTCGGATCCCATATAGAGACCAGTCCGCTCACTGGTTGAGCGCGGTGCGGGTGCGACACTGAGGGTTGCGATCCTGTTGCAAGTCGCGGTACGGGCACGACACTGAGGGTTGCGATCCCGTTACCGGTCACGAAAAAAAAAAAAAAAAAGACAAAAAATATACATTAATTTAGGTAAACCTGCATTTCTTAGTGTCTACTATCTACTATACTAAAAAACTGAAGAAAATAAAAAATTTGAAAGAGGACTGTTGACATTTTCTGAATGCTACATACTTCTTCACCCAATTATTCACAAATGCAAAGCCAAGAACATAGGATCACCAAACAATATAAACTAGAAAAAGACTGTTCACACATGTACACACAAGTAATCTGCTAGAGCCTGAATCAACGGTGGGTTTAAATTCTATTACTTTGCATTCTATTAGTAAACTTCAAAGAAGAAAATGAGTAGTGATTTATGCAAGCAGTCAATTTTTCATTACTTTGGGTGGAGTGGCCTGGAAAAGATCTGAGGGGTATGGAAATCATAACAGTGTGATTTGACTGTTTTATTATCCCTTGATTTCATCTCATTATAATTACAAACACTCCATTTAGAGTTTTGATTTAGTATAAAATAATTGTGGATTTTATTACACATGGGTTTTATTCTCTCAATCTTCTATCATTTTCCCTATTCCTCCAAATTATGAAGAGGTAACATAATGTCTTTTACTTTGTACATCTGGTCTTCGGCCTCTGCCCCAACCCACATTTGCACTGACTCTTATCTGAAGCAGTTCCAGTGGCTCAGACCCTGAACTTTCTGCTAATGTCTATCTCTTGTCACAGGAAGGATAGCTATTTATTGACTTTTGAAGTGTGGGGCAAGGAGGGGTTAAAATTAGATTTTAGCAAACAGTGGCCACATATTTTTGTAAACCTGCTATAAAGGAACACTCTTCTGATAAGTTTGAATTTGTGACAGAGACAAAAAATTAATTTTTCCCCAGTTTTAAAAAAACATTTTACTATGAAAATGTTCAAACATACACTAAAGTTGAAAGAACACTGGTCTAGCCACCACTCAACTATCAACATTTTCCTTATATTTTCTTTATCATATATCTATCTTGTCCTCTATCCATCTATCAATTCATCTTACTTTTCTGCAGCAATTCAAAGCAGATTGCAGACATTAGTAAACTTTTCCCAAATACAGCATTCATATCTTTAACTAAAGTTCAATATTTATTAATTTCTATGCTATAAGATTTATATTCAATGAAATGCACAGATTTTAAGTATACATTTGCTGTTTAGACAAATTCACATACCTGTATAAACAAAACTCCCATTAAGGTATAAAACATTTTCATTACCCCAGAAAGCTCCCTCATACCCCTCCCTTCATGTTCTACTCCCCAAAAACATTTTCGATTTTTGTTCTTCCATGGATTAGTTTTGCCTGCGCTAGAGCCTCATATAAATAGAGTCAATACACTATGACTCTATTATGTCAGGCCTTTTTCACTCAGCATAATGTTTTTAAGATTCATCTGTGCTATTTTGTGTTATCAGTAGTATATTCCTTTTTATTGCTAAGTCAATGTTCCATTGCAAGGATATACTAGAGTTTAATTGTTCATAATCCTACTGACAAACACCTGAGCTGTTTCCAGTCTTTGGTTATTATAAATGAAGCTGCTATGAACATTCTTATTTTGTGGGGATATGTTTTCATTTCATGTGGGTAAATACCTAGTGGTGAAGTTGCTGGCAGTGGAAGACACTTCATCAGCAGTTCAGTATACAGGTCTAAAGCCTAGGAATCATGATGATGATAGCTATCATTTATCGAGTGCTTATTCCATGTCAGGTTCTAATAACCCTACGAGGTAGGTGCTATTATTATTCCCATTTTATAGACGATGAAATTAAAGCACAGAGAGATGACATTACTTGCCTTGAAGATAAATTGGTAACTGGTAGTGCTGGGATTAGAACACAGGTTACCTGAATCTCAAAACCATACTTCTAAACACTAGGATTTACTCCCTCCCAAGATATATATTTGGAGACTGCATATATGAGGATACTTCAAAAATTTTGTGGAAAAATAGAATTTTCTGAAGACCCTTCATATTTTGGAGACTTGTTGAAGACATGGGAATGAGAAAAGGTACAGAATAAAAGATGAGATCAAAGCACTTGGGAACACTAACATTCAAAGGAGAAGCAGAGAAAGAGGGGTCCACAAAGGATACTGAGAAGGAGCAGCTAGAAGTAGGAGCGAAAGCAAGCAAGATAAGTTTGAAAGAAGCCTAGACAAAGTAATTCAAGGAAGAAGTGATCAACTGTGTTTAAGCCTATAAGGAAAGCAGGTAACATAAAGACTGAAGTGTCTACTGGATTTAGTAACAAAGATTACTGGTGATTTTGATGTGAACAGCTTCAGTTTGCATATCAGGATTAGAACCAGACTGGAGTAATTTCAAGTGTATGAGAAATGGAGATAGTGAGCATAGAACATACATCACACTAAAGAAATTTTGGTTGTTAAGGGGAGAAGAGAGGAGCAGGTGTCTCAGCATGTTTAGAAGTTGATGATTTAGATCCAGCAAAGTGGGAGAGGAGAAAGTTGCTAACTGCTGAAGAGATATTCCTGAGGAAATAGCAATAAACTCTGAAGTTACGAGTGTAGGCTCTGGGATTAAAATGCCTAGATTCAAATCCAGCCTTTGCTACTTACTGTTGGATACCTTGGGAAAGTTCCTTAGTCCCTCTAAGCATCAATTACCTGAAAATGGGAATACTACTACTATCTACTTCACAGGTATATTGTAAGGCAGAGAAGGAAAGTATATTCTGTACCAATAGCGCAAGCAAGGCCCAGATGAACAAAGAGCACGAAGGGGCAAGGACTAAGAGGCTAATGTCTTATAAGGGTTGCCCACAAAGATACTGGAGCATATATATATAACCAAAACATTAGGACCACAACACAGGATCACTTAAAAAAGATAGGCAAATGAAGAAATAAACAGTCACAATGGTGACAGCAACAATTAAGATGTCAAAATATATCTTAATATTGTGTATATGCAAGGCATTTAAATTCAAAATTTAGCCAAAAGAAAAATATTGTACCTTTGAACGAAATGTTGGATGAACAAAATAAACAGCCTTCAAATTCCTCTTGTACCTGATTCAAAAAAACACACAAAAAGGGTCAATATGTCATGCCTAAAACCAATCACCCTTATAGATAATTAACTCTTTGCTTTAGTATATAAACATATTCACAGAGGAAACAAATGGTTTTAAAAGCAGTGCTAGTTTATGTATTGAATTTTAGGTGAAATGTCAAAACCAATTCAGAGAATGTTTCATTATTTAAAATACCTGTTTTACAGGAGATATTAAGAATTTCTGTCAGCTGTGAGAGTCACCTAAAGGCAGGACAAAGTTAGGTAAATTCATATTTGACAAACAAATTTATTGTGTATCATTTCTTTACATGGTGCTAGAATCTCTGGGATCAGGTGTATAAATTAAACAACAGTAAAACCACTAAAAATTATAGAAAAAATAAGAAACTAAGTTTCAATGGTCATATTACAACAGAGTTTACTATGTCTCGGAAATTGTATGAGGGCCTTCTACTTAATTCTCATAACACCTGCATGAGCTGAGTACTATTATTGCCTCTATTTTAACCCTCCCGAAGTCATCCAGCCATCAAGTGGTTCAGCCAGAAATTGAACCCAGGCATTATGGCTCCAGAACCATATTCTTATCCATTATTCTATCTAGCCTTTCTAGGTGTGCCGGAGATTTTTTTCAGCAGTTAAATAATCACCATTGGGTCCCATGAGGTTCTTTGGAAAGAACTTCAGAAAAATAGTACAAACTCTTCATTTCACAGTTGAGGCCTGTTACAAGTTAAAAAGCTGGTTAGCAGTAGAAGCAGAATAACAGTGGAGTGAAGCTTTCTTAAACATATACAACCCACACTCAGAGCAAGCTATAAAGGTTTCTATTGCATAATGAAACCTTTAATATTCCTAATTAAGATGAGGTTTAATGGGAGGAATAAGATGGTTTGGAAATTTATGATAATTTGTTTTCTTTGTACCCTAATTATAAAATGGGTTTTTCAGTGCAATCCATAAAGACATTGTAACGCTACAAATAACAAAACAACTACCAGGAATGTATATTTAGGAAATACATTAATGATAAAAAACTTAAAGCATTACATTTGGTCTTTGTTGCAGTGGGTGTGATATTTTTAGGTTAAAATTTCCATATGTACCTCAAGGGAAATATTGTTTAATGAAAATAATTTTTTAGCTCCTAGTCAATAGCCTGAGTTCAATTCCAAATTCTGCATTTACTGCTGTGAGATTCTGGGCAACATACTTCACCTTTCAGAATGTCTATATTCTCCTATCTTTCAAATGTAGCTAAGATCTTTCCTAACAAACTCCTCGGTCACTGGATCAAATTACATAATGTTTATAAATGTATTTTTTGTTTTTTTTTTGTGTGTGTGGCTGGTCGGTATGAGGCTCTGAACCCACGAAATTGGTGTTATAAGGCTGCACTCTAAACAACTAAACTAATCAGCCAGGTTTTCCTAACAAACTCCTTGGTCACTGGATCAAATTACATAATGTTTATAAATGTATTTTTTGTTTTTTTTGTGTGTGTGTGGCTGGTCGGTATGAGGATCTGAACCCACGAAATTGGTGTTATAAGGCTGCACTCTAAACAACTAAACTAATCAGCCAGGCTATAAATGTATTTTGATAATTGTAACATGCCGTATAAAATAGAAGGTAGTATTTGTTATTTCATATACAAATATTGGTAATGGCCTCAAACCTTCTCCTAAGTGTTTAAGAGTGGGAGAAAGTTTGCATACAAATTTACTTCAATGTAAAATAAGTTTGAGTTAAGGAGAGCCTCCTATGATTAAAATATCTAATCTATATATAAAAAGAATCTTTGTTAGATGAAATATTCTTTCACAGAATACACAGTAATGTATGCTATTGCTTAACATTAGGAAAGAAAGAAGCTATCTCCCCCCTCATAATTTGCAAAAATAACTAACTTGACATCAACAACATCGTAGAGTTTCTTCAGGAAGTCAGAATCCAGGTGATTGTATTCGCTGGTCAGTGTGTGAAAATATACTAATACATATTCCTTCACAGCAATGTGATCCATTACATGGATAAAATATAAGAGAGCCTAAAAGAAAAAAGAGGAGTAAAGGTAAAGATCAATTTACACAGTTGTCTATTTTACAGAGGCCAAGAGAGAGGAAAAACCCAGAAGATATAATCTAATTTGTCCCAGTCATTTGCAGATGGACCTCTCAGACTGATTAGTATCAATTTTCTTTAAAAAGAGCTTAAGGAACGTGAGTCATCCCAGTGTTTAATAATTCTCATAAATGCTACAGTGCAATCCTTTACTGTCTTGTTTTAACTGGTAGAGGAAAACAATCAGTCTCTATCCTCTGAAATAACATACTGGAAAGAGTTCTTGGGTCAACTACCAGGTTTCCTCTCTCTAGGATAATGATATCAAGATCATTAGAAGCAGAATTTCTAGACTTTTAATCATTCTTGAAGTTTCTTCCTGAATTCAGAGTCTTTGTAGTCTTTACTTTGGCACAGACTCATGGCTCTCATGTAACCGAGACTTACTATAAAAGGATATGATGAGTGGTATCTTACATGGCTCACTTCGAGGGCTAATTTTCTTAGATCTTTAATGCTGACCTCAATGAGGAAATTGAGAGCAGGTTTAGTCAGTAGATGGCATTTCTAGAGCTCTGAAAGATTCAAATTTAATGTGACCCAGATCAGTTAGGTAACTATTGCATTAAAAGAAGAATGAAATTTAAGAAAAACACTAAAAACAAAACAGAGATACAATATGGACAGGGCCAGTATGACTCAGTGGTTTAACTGTAAACAATTACAAAGAGGAAGCCAAGAGGCAACTACTGAGGAATTACTGTAAAACAAGCTGTTTTCCAATTCCTTCTCAAGAGTCCTTGGCATTAGCATGAATGAATTAACATGGATTAGGATCCAATTGCTACCAGAGCAGACAGAGGAGGGCGTTAAGAAAACACAGTATCTTTCCAGTTGTTACCTAGTTTGGACCTTACAATATATCTCATTATTTTACGTGAAATGAAACATCTTGAATGTCCAGAACACCACGCAAGCACACACCAAAATCAAACGCAGGGATTTATGTTTTTATTGGTATCAATGACATTATTGATGATGAGAATGAATGTCATACTGATTATTAAGAACACAAAACAAATGATCACAAATAGAAACTTAATGATATAATTTTCACCAGTTGAATTTTTACTCTGTGGGACTGCAGTTTGTGTATGTGTGTGTGAGTGAGCATGTGTATGTGTGTGTGTGTTTTTATTATTCTTATTTCTCCTCTTACGAGATTGCTTCTTTGTCCTCTGTGTCCACTTTCCACCCCCATCGCAGGGCAATTAGGATACCCCTTTTCAGCTTCAAATTCCTCATCTTTAATTTAACATTTTTTCATTATAAATAGGGGTAGCCACACGACAGAAAAATGTGGAAGACAAATTCTCCCCTAAACCATCAAAGTAATTTTGGGATATTTACTTCCAGTTTTTACTTTTGTGCTTTAAACAAAACAAAACACAATTAAGGTCAATATAGATAGAATTTAATGTATTACTTTTCCTCCTACTGATATTATATTAATAAACACTTCTCTATATTACTCACCTCTATAACTATAATTTTTAAGGACCACAGAACATTTCATTTGTGGATGTACCATAATTATCTGTAGAAATTTAAGTTATAACTTTTTGCTACAAATGATCCCGTGGGTAACATGCCAGGTTGAGTACTTTCACAATTTTTTTACCCTAATACCAGTGACCAAGAGTTTGAGGGCTTAGCCAGAAGCAATTACCAGCTTTTGCACAATCGTGTGTTTTCTCAAAATTGTGTTTAATTTGGCATTAAGTGCATAAATTTTTATTATGGTTAATAATTATTGATTAAAATTATTCTCCTCTCGCAGCCAGTTTTTTTTTTTTTTAACAAAACTAATGTTTTATGAAGATCTATATATTTATCTTGTGGATTCAATTGTCCCTTGCATGAGTATTACACTTGAGCAGTTTCAGGGAGTATAGCTACTTTCATACTTTGGATTATTTCCTTTGTATAAATTCTCAAGAATAAAATTACTGGTCAATGGGCATGATCTCCTTTATAAATTCAATTCATCTTTGATGACAATGATTATTACTTAAAAGTTCTGGCTAATTTTGAAGATGAAAAAAGAGATCTCATTTTACTTTTTTTGACTACTAATCAGGTTGAACATTTTCTTATTTTTACTTACCGTTAAAACTTTTTCTTTTAGGAATCATCTATCTCTGTTCTTAGCTTCCAAATGAAGGGATCATGAAATTTTGCTCTCTTGGGCAAACTACAACTTTGTTTCTTCTCTTCTGATAGATACTCAAGCATTAATTTTTCTTTTTTCAAAAAGTCAGAATTTGATTCTACAGTTATAATACAGAGTGATTCCAACCAAACACTTGACTTGCCAGTTACATCATACCCAACACAAAGCAGCTATGTTTTTGATCATATTATAACATAGCAGTATTTTTGTTTCTTCTACAGAGAAAAACCAAACCCCCATATTAACAGAAATGATAAACGCTGACTCATGGAACTAGGTCTGCTACTCTGCCAGTAATATACAATTCAGCCTCATCTCATATTGTAAGCCCTGATTCCAAATTCATACCCTACTTATTATTTAAATCAACATTATTTGTAAAACAGAGCCTTTTAATGGCTTACCTTGTCCATATCTATTAATGTTACAGGAATGTTTCTTCCAACTACCACCATCACTGTGCGACCACAGTTATCAACACCTACAAACAGGAAATGTAATCAACACCCAGAAACTTTATTCCAAGAGTATTATTTGTCCTGGGCTCTGACTTTATAAAAATATTCTACACAAATTTAAAAGACTGAAAACCGGGAAGCATGTTTTTAAAATTTCATCTTCTGATTTCATTTACTGTATAGAAAACATCAACTTTTTTTTTTTAAGCTTCATGAAATTTTTGATCACTGCCCTGACTTTTAAGATAAGATCTCTAAAATTTCATCTTCTGATTTCATTTACTGTATAGAAAACATCAACTTTTTTTTTTTTAAGCTTCATGAAATTTTTGATCACTGCCCTGACTTTTAAGATAAGATCTCTTAAAGATTTTAAATTGGGGACAGCCAAAGATCTTTTTATAAATAGCTTTTTGTTTAAGCTCAGTATGACTTTTAATAATACGACTCGAATCTGAAAACTGATGAAAATTACTGAAAAATACTGTTTGAAAAAAAAATATAATGCAGAAAGAGTAGGAATCTGGGAACTTGTACAGTTTCCATTAAATATTTATGAAACGTTTGAATTCTGTAACAGCAAGTTTATGGTACTTTATAAGCAGAAAAACAATTTTAAAAGAAAAAGGACAGTGGGAAGAAATGAAGTTGGCCAATGTAGAACTATAAGTTGAAGATTTTATAGGTTGAGGTGTTATTTTTAAGATCTTGATATTGGCAGAAACTATTTGCATTAGTATAAAAGCTTTTTATTCTTATTAGAATGGATGAAATCAGAGAAGAATGAAGTCTCAAATAGCATGCTGAGTAGTGTCCTTGATAAGCAAAAGAATAAGTTACCACATCCTTAAGCTCACCTGTTTGGTATAAGGCTTTTAGAGAAGCAATATCAGACAGATCCTCAGATCTTGCTTGACATAACCAGCGATTATAGCTAGAGAAATAAAGGATATAATCATTATAATAAACCACTGAAAATTAAATTTACAAATGGGACCAATTTTTGTATTCCTCCCTGACCCGAAATAATTGATTTTTCATTATAAGAAAGAAGGAATTAAAGAAGCTATTATACTGTGCTGAATCTCTACCATGTTATTGATAAAATAAAAACAAATTAATTATTGAGAAAGGAACTACTTGATTTAAAAAAATCCTTATGATAAAAAAAAACTATACAGATAAATGGCTAAGATATCAAGTACTCAAACTAACATTGTTTTAAAATACTATTATTTTCCTATACTAAAAAAAAAAAAAAATGCAAATAGAGAAACCCTGAAGTAATGGCAGATCTCCAAAACAGATGTTCACTCATTCAACAAAGAGTTATTGAGTGCTTACTCTATGATAGGTATTGAGAATATTATAGTGAATAGACATGGTTGCTGCCCTCAAGGAGTTCACTTTTCAGGGGAAAAACAGATAAGTACTCTATATGTTATGTGAAACTACTGAGGAGCTAGGTAATTTTATCTGGGAAGTCCAGGCATATTTAATGATTGGTTAATCAAACTAGTTGTAATGATACCCCATATACCAGATCATATGAACTGCAGTTTGGCTTTGGCTAAGAGGATGTTAAAGCTGGAAGAGTCATTAAAGATCTCCTAGAGGGGGAGATGACCTCAAAAGATGAATGGTCAAGTTCATCTTAGCATTACTAGCCAATTAATGGTAACACTGAAACTGAAAATACACTCAGGTTTCCAGACTTCTGGAAAGGTCAGTACTTTTTCTACTACTATACCATACTGCTTTTTCAAAATTTGAAGTGTCACTTATACTTGACTTTGAAAAAGCTTTTGAGGTACCAAAATGTATGAAAAGCAACTTTGAAGTGTCTAGGACACATATGGCAACAACCAGCAACAACAACATCAACAACAAAAGCTAGACTAGGAGAAGGGAGACTTGGGTTCTAATCTTACTACTTTCAGTGCAAGCTTACTGAAGTTGATCTACCTGTATGGACCTAGTTTCCTCATCTGCAAAATGGTGTTTATGTAGGACATCGCTCAGCTATAAAGTACAATCACACAACTAAAGCTATTTAATGGCAAGTCTGTTACATACAGATTGTAACCAACAAGTGATATGCCTGCTAGTTTCACAGAAATCGTTATTACTTGTGAAAAACACACTTGGTACTGTATTAGTTCTATAAATCGCCTTCTTAAATTTGGTAACTTGCCAAACTATGCAAACTGAAAAGTCAAAGATAACAGCTTTTAATTTTGGTTTAAAATATAATCTGAAAGTCAAGATAAGATCTAAGTTTATTGTAGTTCTCCCTAATTCATGTACACTATTCCATATTTTTTACACAGTCATTTCCCAAGTTATTCCCGCTAAATCCACAATTCTATTTTTTTCTTTAAAAATTTTTTTTCTTTAATAAATAAAAATTATATATATTTCTGGTGTCCAACAAGATGTTTTGATATGTGTATATGTTGTGGAATGGCTAAACTAAGCTAATTAACACATTCATTATCTCACATATTTAACTTTTTTTGTAATGAGAACACTTAATATCTACCCTTTTAGCAATTTTCAAGTATACAACACACTGTTATTAACTATAGCCACCATGTTGTACAATAGACCTTTTGAACTACTCCTCTTGTCTAACTGAAATTTTGTATCCTTTGACCAACATCTCCCCAATCCTGCCTCCTCCCACTCCCAGCCCCTGGTAACCAACCAATCCACTCTCTGCTTCTATAGGTTCACCTTTTTTAGATTCCAAATATAAGTGAGATCATGCAGTATTTGTTTTTCTGTGCCTGGCTTATTTCACTTAAGGTAATGTTTTATATTTTCACTATGAAGGTTAAAAGTGGGAGGGGTAAAGTAAAAGTGTAGAGTTTTTGTTCTTTTTTCCTCTTACAATTCTATTGTTTTCTAATTCCTTTATGATTAAGTCATCTTCACAGTAAGATTAAAGAGAAAAATATTATCTTAAATGTCTATGAGTACCACAGGTCCTAGCACAAAGCATATAACAGAAATTCAGTAAATCCCTATTAATTTCTATAGTCTGTTCATGTATCTATCAGCTAATTTTTCAAAGAGTGATTGCATTTGTAATGCAATGCTTGCATCACAGATCACAGTAGGAACTCAAATCTTTGCTGAATGAAATAATAAGCATAAGTATTATGCCAGGTATTTTGGGGGCTTGAGATGAATTAAAAAAAAACAAACAACTCTTGGCTTCAAAGAGTTTAAAGTTGAATATATGAGACAGATAATATTATAAAGACAATAACTTTGTAATATGACAGAATGAGACATGCAACCCAATAGAAAGAAGCCTGAATCCTCCACCAATCAAGTATGTATGTTGAGAAAGAGACTGGTGGGGGTGGGGGAAATGGAGTACAGGCAAGTCCCAGATATGTTGTAGAAACTGCTCCCTTCTTTGTACCCCAAAGACTTCTACCATGGTCAGTATAAGGCTTTTCCCATTTATTGCAATGTCTGCTTTCATTCAATTAGACCACAGATAGGAAATATGTCTTACTTGTTTCCATATTTCCAGTCAATCCCTAGGGTAGTTCTTAAAACTCAATGACCATGTATTCAATGAACTCTGAAAAATAAATTTTTTTAAACTAGAACTCAGGTGCACAATCTAGAATTAATCATCCTTGGTTCAAAATTCTCTCATCACTGGTACATACACAGTCCACTTTAAAACACTGGTTGAATAATGTTATTTTTAATGAAGTAATATGCACCCCCAAACCTACTACCCCAAATGAAAATTAGCACCTTCACTATAACCTACTCTCCTCCAATTCTAATCCCCTGCTTCCCCATCATCACCTGGAATCCCAGGTTCATCATTTCCTTGCTTTCTTTTCCATATCATTTTAGTTCACCTATATGTATTCGATGTAAGAAGTTATTTTTTGGTTGTTTTTAACTAATAAAAAAAGCTTATCATGCTATATGTAATCTTTTGGGTCTTCCTTTTTTGACTTATTATCCTGCTAAGATTCATCCATATCATTGGGTTTCAATGTTGTTCATTTATTTCGACTATTATATTAGCATAGTGTATTCATACTATATGAAAACCATAGTTTTATTTTTCCACTCTCCCACTGATGAGCACTTGGGCTGTTCCCAGGTTTTTGCTATTGTGAACAGTGCTATAATCTACTGGTTTTACATATCTCCTGGTACATATGTACATGATTTCTCTTGAGTAAACACCTAGGAGTGAAAGTGCTAGGTTACAGAATATGTTCAATTTTAGGAGATAAGTCCAAATCTTTTTTTCCAAAGCACTTCATCAATTTACACTTCTATAAGCAGTGAATGAGATCCTTGAGTCCATGTCCTCTTCAACACTTGGGATTATCATATGTTTTAACTTTTGCCAATCGGTTAGGTTTGAAATGGTATCTCGTTTCTCTCATCACTAATGAGGTTGAGATCCTGTTTATGTTTACTGGACATGTTTTCTTTTTCTGTGAGATACCTGTTCATATGGCTTATCCATTATTCCATTGGGTTGCTTGTTCTTTTTCTCACTGATTTGTAGTTCTTTACATATTCTTGATACTAATCATTTGTCAGTTGTGTATTGTGAACATCTGCTCCTATTCTGTAACTTGCTTTTCACTTTCCATAAGCGTCTTTGCTCCACTTTCTAAAGTTCTTAATTTTAATATAGTCAAAAGTATTTTTTCTTTTATAGTCAGTGTTTTTTTTTTTTTTTGTCTTTTGTCTTTTTCCGTGTCCGGCAACGGATTGCAACCCTCAGTGTTGCCCCCGTACCAGACCGGGGACCGGCAACGGGATTGCAAACCTCGGTGTTGCTCCCACGCCTCGCTCAGCCAGTGAGCGGGAACCGGTCTGTATGTGGGATCCGAACCCTCGGGCGGGAGTGCCGCTGCGCTTCCCAAGCGGTGCACTTATCCAGTGCGCCACCGGGCCGGCCCCTATAGTCAGTGTTTTTTATGTCTTGTTTAAGAAATCTTCCCTTTTTCTAAGGTATGAAATATACTAACTTATAACTTCTTCCATGAGTTTTGATTTTCTTAAAAAAAATTTAAGTTCTTAATCCATCTAAAATTGATTTTAGTTCATGCTGTAGGTTGGATGCCCCCACCAACCTCACTGAAGCTTAATCCCCAGTGTAACTGATGAGGGTAGGAAATCCTATTATGATAATTGAAAGGTGGGGCCTTGAAGAGGTGATTAGATTGTAAGGACCATGCCCTAGTTCATGGGCATGGTTCTGAGGGCTTTAAAAGGAGAGCATGTGAGTCCCTCTCTCTATGCTCTGCCATTTTCTGCCATGTGAGACCCCTGCATTGCTGTAAAGCCACCACCAAAGAAGACCCTCACCAGATATGTTTCCTGGACTTTGGACTTCCCCCAAAACTGTAAGCAATGAATTTCATTTTCTTACAAATTACCCAGTTCCAAGTATTTTGTTATAAGCAACAGAAATGGACTAATACAGTCAGTCCATTGTACAAACATGAAATAGTATAAACTTTAAAATGTTTTTAACCTTGATTAGTGATTAACAACTTGAGATCCAATGATAGATTTGGGTTGTAAAACAAAAACATGTTTATGAGCAGAAGGTTTATAGCTTATGTCAGATGCTCAAAGGGTTAATGATTTAAGGTTAGAATAACTGCTGAGACACTGGTGCTGCTCTGGTCTCTAAAGACCTTGAGGTGAATCTTAATGCAACAATTCATGACTGCAATCTTCATCAGGTTTCTTCTTTATTCTAATTAAGTCCCTCCATTCCCACTATCTATTGTATAAGTTTGATCAGTCATTTTTTTCTCATTTTGAATCAGTAGTTGGGAAGAGGGAGAAAATGCAAAAGATGTTACTTTTACATCCTCAATCAATAGAGGTACGTTTTCCTCTAAACTTCATTATCCAAAGAATATT